CGTGATGTCAGAAGTCACACAATATCAAACCTGTTACTTTGCAAATAAACCTTTTAGTAATAGACAAAAAGGCACATATCAGTGAGGAATATAGTGGTAATTCCTGCTATGGTGAGAAATGGAAGAAAACACCAACAAAATTTGTTGGCAAAATTAAAATTCAGTACCATTGATAAACCAAGGTAGGAAAAAAAAAGCTAAAGATTTGAATAAAAAGATATTTGAACATACAAGTTCTGCAGTGTACTTGGATGGAATCATAGATGTTTTCAAACTTATCTAAACTTATGGTGTTTGCTAACTTATGTTCTGTACTGAAATATACTAATAATTTTTACTCTGTCTCCAAACTAAAACAGTACTAAAGAACATATATCCTTATCAGTAAATAACTTCCTTACTAAGAGCAATGCTTCATGAACATCAATGAAGCATTTCCTATAAATGAAATTTAAAGAGATTCAACAGAAGTTCAGAAATAGCTCCACGTGTGCTAATTTTATATAAATGAGACCTGTAAAAAGCTTTTTTCACAAATTTTGAAATGAGAAGGGGTGACTATAAAAATTTTTTGCACTATAGCATGCTTTTTTGTTTTCACCCAGTAGCATGCTACCTATCAGTCATTTTTTATATTTTATAAAAAATGAAAACTACTTTCCTTTTAAGGTAATTATAATACCAATAACTAAGAACATTATTATATTCCAAAGAAACTGTGTCAGGACAAGAACTTTTAAAAAACAGTTGGAAATGTTTTAGTTTTGTGATTTTTTTTGAAACCAATCAAAAAAAATATATATCACATATATAAAACTTTCACATTTTTATATATAAACCTAAAAATCATGAAAATAAGAGTATTCTAACCTGCTGAAATCCTTTGGATTAATGGTTTTTGAACTAATTTTGTAACCAGTTGCTGAAAATGTCTCAATGCTGTGTTTTCTAGTTTGCTGGTTGATGTTAGGGAAGATGAATACTTATTAGCAAAATCATATTTTATAAAGGTTGGTATAACTGATATGTGGAATCCAAAAACCAGTGTTATACTTTAGAAACTGCAGCCAATAGAATAAGTCTCCATTATTAGGTTTAATCTTTGTGAAGTTTTAGCTCTTAAATCCCAATATCCAAATAAACCTTTTAGAACTAGACCTTTTGAATTGCTGTATGAAAAAATGTTTAACAAGAAATATACATATATAATGAAATATATTCCTGCTGCTTTTATTCATGCCATTAGTAAAGTAATAACTTTTAATGGTTTTTAATTTATCTTTATGTCTTATGCTTTAATTTAAAAAGCATATTTGCACTAGTGTACATGTGCAAAAGTTCTTTTTCTAATAAAGAAATGCACAATTCTGCTAGATTGGTTGGTAACAAGTAATTATAAACAAATGTTTATAACTAGGGTTTAAACTAGTCAACAAAACTTCTCTAAAATAGTTTTCCTTTAAAAATGCTACAAGCATAAAAAAATTGTTGAAACACAAAAATGAAGAAAAAAAAAAAAGAAAAAAAATCACTCAAATTTCTATCATCCAGGCATAAACATTGTCAAAATTTTAGTGCATATCCTTCTAGATTTTATGAAAATACATAGCTTCCCCTTTTACAAACATAGGTTTATTCTTCATTTACAACTGTATTTATGGAGAAATTTTAAACTTTACAGAATTATTTAAGTGAGATTTTTGGGACAGATTAAAATTTAAAGAAATTATTATAAGAGACTATATTCTGCAGACCTAGGATAGATCTTTATAAGCAACCCTGTGTAAGATACAATATTTGTTTAAGTCCATTGCTTGTCATCTTAATGTACTTTATCTTGATATTAAATGTGGTTTAACTACAAAGAGAAGTTACCAAGAAATAGCCTGACCAAATTTTGTGGTTTTCAACTTTTTTTATCTACATGTGGCCTATGTAACAAGCCAAGTACCTTAAAGGGAACTAAGACTTTGGCAAGGTTTTTATTTCTGTTCAACATTATAACTGTGTCCATAGCTGATAAAATATGGTTTACAATCTAGAATTAACTGTATGCAATAGGAGAGAGAACTGAACAGAGACAGTGACTATTAATGAAATTGTTATATCTTCAGAATCAAGCAGTTGTTATTTAAAGGTGTGGTCTTGGACTCAATCTCATAATTTTTTTTTTTTTTTTTTTTTTATCAATGACTAATACCATTAGAAGGAACATTCATTGACACAACAAACGAAACCTAGCTGGGAAATGAAAACTAAGAAGAGGAAGTCACATTTTCAATGGCAAGATTGGAAACAAAATAAAATTGAAGAAGTAGTAAGAAGTAAACAAAATGAGTAAGTCACTTGGGTGGGTTAAAATAAGCAAGGTCAAAAAAATAAGTTTCGAAAGGATGGTGGCTAGCTATTACCAAGTATCACAGATGTTAACTCTGGGGTTTTAACAAGCAACTAGCTGACAAGGATCAATAACATAGTACTAATGTTTTAAAAAAGCAAACACAACATTGTGAAATTTATTCCTTACCATAACATAACTATTGCTTCCTAGTTGACATTGGTATACATTAAGAACTTTTTTTTTTAAACCAGATATGCCATTCACTTGAGAGCAAATGTGAAGAACCTAATCACACAAATGAATGAAATAATAACAGAGAAAAAGGTAATTTCATTTAAGATTGAAGACAGTTTTTTCCTCCCTCCTGGAAGAGATGAAGTAATTGATTAATGGTCATTAAATAAGAACATACAATTATGAAAATAAAAGTCTATTGATTTCAAGTACATCTATTGATTTAAAGTACATCAAGTAAAATAGGCAATTATACTCAACTTTTTTGAGAGACTGAATTAGAAAATGAAGTTAAACTGTGTTAGAAAGTAGTTAATTTAGAATTGTGGGGCATGATTTTCGTTGAAAATTAGAATAATTTTAAGCATTTGATAGGATTTCCATTGAAAAATTTCTACTTTTCTTTTTTTAAAAAAATATTTATTTTTTAAGTTTTTTAGGTGGACACAATATCTTTATTTTACATTTATGTGGTGCTGAGGGTGGAACCCAGTTCCTCATGCATGCCAGGTGAGCACTCTACCGCTGAGCCACAATCCCAGCCCCCAAATTTCTACTTTTCTTTAATGGTGAAATGTGCATCTACATGGAGGCATGAAATGTGAAATTTTTAATGTCTTGATCGGACTTCCAGTAATTGGGATAAATAATTTTCACCAAGACAAAGAGAAGTAAGTTTGTTGTTATTGAAGCCATTACTGATAAAGTCAAGAGGCTTAAAAAAAAATACTCTAGTTGTGTTACATCCTTAAATATAAATATAATATCACCATTGGATATTTGAATGTAGACCTGATCAGAGGGCTTAGCATATACAGACAGTAGGTTGAATCCTAAGGAAGCAATGTTCCTATTTATCTTCTTGAAGATGCTCCTTTTCTTTTCTTTTTTAAACTTTTATTTATTTTACAAAAACATACATAAATAGCAGGACATTTAAAAGGTATAGAAAAGCAAGAGAGCAAAAAATGCAAAATGCAGTCACAACTAAAGGGAAAAATAAATTAACATTCTGATGCATGTCTTTGCCTACTCTTTTCTACTTATGTACATATAAAACATTTTATAATGTATACTTTGTTTTACATGTATTTTAAAGTTTATGAAAACAATAAATTTGTAATCTCTTGCGTGATTTAATATCATGAACTATCAATACACTAGATCTATAGCATCATTTTAAATGGCTGCCATAATTTACATAATTCCTACCTTTGGTCATATGTTTCTAATTGTTCACTACTATTAACCACTGCAGTGTGTGTCTTTAATATTGTTTGCTTCTTTGTCTCTTTCTTTCCTAAACACGAAGAGCAGTAAAACAGAGAAGGAATTCAAGGCTTTTACTCATCCAGCAGCTATTTACTGAACAATTATTTGTGCTGGTCTTGGCATTAACTCGGAGTAGGGAAGAAGTGGTTAAGGCAAGCTGTCCATTTTCAATAAACTTTCAGTGTCCTGGAGTAGAAAGAATTGAAGAACAGGCGGCGAAAAAAAAAATGCTCACCCTCTCCTTAAAGTAAATCTAGTTTTAAGAGAAAGTTGCCAGGTTGGGACCCAGGTGTCCATCTACCAATTAAACAGGCTCTAGAATGAAAATCCCTACCGTTGGTAAGTGTTAGTTTTCCGTATAGAAAATGCTCATCCACCACATCTATGGTGGCCACCTCCGTAGGAGCAGGACGCCCGGACACGGCCGCGGCTACCTCTCGGTCCGGGCGGAGAGGAAACCCTCTCCCGGGGCCTCCTGGCGCTGGCGCACGCGGGGAGCCCTCGGCCCCTGGGACCGCCGCGCCGCTCTCGCGGCTGCCTCACCCACAGCTCGCCTCGGATGCCAGGCGGTCAAATGCAAAACCTCCACCCAACCACTTGCACTCGGAGAAGCCTCTGGCGCAAGGCTGCTTAGCACAATGGTCAGAGCGTGGGTGGAAAACAAACTTTGTTACGTGTTAACTTGGTCGGAGCAAAACGATTCTGGGAAGGGATTTAAGTGAGACCCGAACCGTGCGCAGTGATTTCTATACACATCGTTTTCATTGATGAAAAATGAAGAGCCGCCGTCTCTTCCAGGGCTCTGGCAGGACGGTTTCAGCAGGTGGCCAGCCGCCCGCCCGCCCGCCCTCCCGAGTCCCGGACTCCTCGGCTCCAGCTCCGTCTGGACTGGCGGTTCCGAGGCGGCTGAAGGGGAAGCATCTTCCACGAGGCACACAGGCATCAATGGGATTTCCATCGTGGGAAATGTCCCCTGCCCGTAGGCGTGTGTGCCGGGATGACCGCGCTGGTGCCGCGAGCCGCTTCTAGGTTCAGAGTGGGCATCGCACTCCCTTCTCCACCCCAGTCCCGCGGGCACCGCCGCCACCGCCCGCCGCCGCCGCTGAGGGGCGGGGGAGATGCCGCGGGGGCGGGCGCGGCGCGCAGGGAGGGGAAGGGGTTCTCGCGCGATTGGGCGAGGTTTCCGGTGTTGTGACTGAAACCCGTCAATATGGCGGCGATCGGCCGCGGCCGCTCTCTGAAGAACCTCCGAATACGAGGTAAGCCCGCTGCAGCCCTCACGCCCCACCAACCCCCGCGCCCGCCACCCTTGGCACTTGCCTTCCCCTGGCCCTGGGTGGGGGAAGCGAGCCGGGGCGCTGGCCGGAGCCAGGGCAGCCGCCGCTGGCCTGCGAGCGAATCCTAATTGGGGCTGTGTGTCTGTTTCGCGCAGGGCGGAATGACAGCGGCGAGGAGAACGTCCCGCTGGATCTGACCCGAGGTAACGCTGGGCGCCGCGGGCGGCGGCGAGGGCGCGTTCCTGGGGAGGAGCCGGGGCCGGGGGCCGAGAGCTGGAGGCAGGGGCGGGCCCCGCACGGGACCCGCGAGGGAGCGGGGGGCAGAGCCCGAGCCCCGCCTGCCGGCCCGCGGGAGCCCAGCCCGGGCTGCCTCGCCAGACCCATCCCCCTTCCCGGTGCCCCCTTCGCTAGCTGGAGCCCTGGTCCGGGCCTCGGGTGTGGGGGAGCATGTAGCGGAACTCGGCGAGCCAGCGACCCCTTTGGGTTCCGCGGACCCCAGGGAGCGTTCACACCTATCTCGGAGCTCGTGCACCCAACCCTGGAGCGGCCGGAGGGAGGTAGAGGTTGTTGTTTGGGTTGCCGAAGGGTGTTTGAGGGAACAGCGACCACATCCTGCCTTCCCCGTCCCCCGGAGGAGATGCTTGCTGGACCTGCCTGGTTCTTACTGACTGCGTGACTTCTCTCTGCTCACCGTCCTGTGGGGGCCCGCAGCATGGATAACTCAGTAGTGAAAACTGGAGCCGTTCTTTACTGCGAAGTGTATGTTTTAAGCTGTATTTCCCTCCGGCTTCCCTTTCCTGGGCCGCCGGGTTTGTAGTTGGCAAAAGACCGCCCACTCACCCTGATGCAGGTTCATTGTTTACCTTCTGCAGTGGAGATTGGGTTTGTTTACACCTTCGGAGCAGGGTAAAACCGGGTTATATTTTTAAGGCCCGAATCCAACTACTCCTTTTTCTGTCAGTCACCGTATTGGAGTTTATCCGACAGTGTCTTGATGAAGAATTTGTGGTTGCATACAAAATTCTTTTCTCTTCCATGATAAGCAGGATTTGGTCTACTGATTCCAACGGTCATGTTTCACACCGGCTATAGCTTGGAGAGTAATCTGGTTCATTGTACAGAGTCAGCTTCTTCTTGTGATCTGTGAAACACCTTAGGAAGTTTTCTTTAAGAAGTCGTTGTAAACATTCCATGAGATCAATTTATACCCCGTGTTGTACTCAATGCAATGACTGTTATTACAGTGTTTTCATACATGGGTTCAATTGTTGAGGCTCACCTCTGTATTGAAAGCATAATGCATTCTCTAATTTGTTTTATTTTGTATATCGTAATGTAAGCTTACTGGAATATAAACAGGCCAATTTTCATTTAGCTAAAAGAGTACATTTTTGTAACTTAATACTTTATTCTGAAAGTTTGGAGACTTAGCTTTAGCTGAACCAGATCCTTTTAAAGGCAGAAGAATTTTTAAAAATGCAGTATAATAGTGCGTTAAGTACTGGAAATGGCAACTAAGTAGATCACCAGTGCATTAATTTGAACTTCTTTCCAGCAGATTTTGAGAATTAGTATAGAAAAATGCAAAGTTTTTGATTTTTGAGCAACAATTTGAAAACTATATAACATGTATAAAAATTATATAAAATTGATTTTGTAGTAAACTTTCTTATAAAATAGCAATACTTTCTTACAGACTTGAAAATTTAGCATTTCAGTTCTCTAACAAATATAGTGTATTAGCGATCCAATTTTTATATGCAAGCATGTGTTTCAGATGGCGACCAAAAAAACCCAAAAAAAACCCACTTATTAAGTAAACTTGAGACTAGTTTCTTCCTTAAAAACCTGTTTGGATATGGTGTTGGAAGTAAAGTATAGTTGTACATGGAGTTGTTTATTGAGCTCCTATATATATAGTGATTTCTCTGGTTAGTGTCAAAATTTTGAGTTGTGTCAAAACAAGATTGATTTGATGCTTATGGTTTATTCCTATTTTACTCAAGAATACAGATAACACCAAATGTTCATTGCTTAAAATGGCTACATTCTGTGACAGTAAACACCTGATTATGACCATAGGTGTTTCCAGGATTATATAAAGACTGCAGAAAATTCTATTTCTGCTTGTCCTAACAAAATGTACTTCAGTTTTGAACAAAATATACACAGCCAACTGAAACTGATTGCAAAAGCAGGACACAACCAAGAGTGAGAGGTTACATGAGAACTGTATTCTAAATTATAAGGAAGTTTAGAATAAGAAAGTAATCTGAGTTAGGTTCATTATAGTGACACTATTGTTTAGAGAAACTGTTATTCTGACAAACATTTCATTGTTCAAAGAAGGCTTGTGGATCTAATGTGAAAGTTCATGAGGAATTTAACTGTAGTAATCATTTAGAACTGTGAGGCAGTCTGGGTTGCAGCTGAAGGGCAGCTGTTTGTGTATTGGATTACAGTATGTAAAAATATAAAGTTTGGGTAATGAAAATTTTTGTTTGATACTAAGGTTAGTGTTTGCTCTCATCCTAATTATTTTTCTGTATTTTTTGAGAAATTAATTATGTAAATAATTCAACAGAGTTCATTATAGAGGTTAGGGTCATTATAATCCCCAAAGAAGCTATCAATGTATAGTGAAAAGAGAGCTAACTATAAAGTCAAATAACTCTGGGTTGTGATCTCAGCTGTGTCTCTTAACAATAACCAAGACAGTAAACATTTTTATTCTTATTAAAGGAAAAGTAAAAGGATTAGATTATCGAAACTATAAAACTCAATAGTACTTCTAATAAATTTTATTCCAATAATTATATTTGAATATAGATTTGTTTGTGTTCTGGGAATTCACTTTGAAACACCGTAAGAGGGGCTTACCCAGAAATGACACTGTGTCTATTCAAGTTAGAGTTCAGTTTGAGAGTGATTTGGGACAAGTTACTTGACCTTGCTTAACCTCCGGTTTCTTTATCTTGAAAAAAACCCATTACTTCAAAGAGTTAGTAAGAATGTTAGACATAAATGAAGTAGTTCTTAATTAAAGTTTTCAGTGTAGGATTTTATGCTCTGTGACGTTTAATATTTGTTGCCTTCCTACATTGTAAAATCAGAATTCTTTAAATCACATTAAAATATATCAAATGTTTGTTTTGATTATTATAAGTTTATTTAACAAGGAATCATAGAATTCAAGCTTATTTTTTGAGACATTCTATTGTATTGATATCTGAAGTAGAGTTTTGAATATAACAACAGAAATCAAAACTTTTACGTTAAAAGAGACTACCAAAAAATAGAGATTGCCAATGAATGAAGTCTAAATAAAGCACATTCCTTTATATGCACTTAAGATACAGTATGAAGTGTTATTTTACAGGACCTTAGAATTTCTCTTCCTGACTTCAGAAAATTTCTTAGTAATAATGACTAGCCTTTCAGATTTCTTGAGGCCTAGGAAAGTTCTAAGGGTTTTTGGGGGTGTGGTACTGGTGTTATTGCTGTACTTATTATAGAGTACCTCAGTGAAAAATTATTGATAGATTTAATTTTGACCCAGTTTAGGAACTCCTTGTAGTGGATTTTACAGTCAACTTTCTGGTAATTGTTGCTTTCAGTTTTGTTCAGACACCTACTCTATTTAATTTGTAAAAAATCCCCAGTATTATTCTCTGTATATTTCATGCCAAAATATATTTTGAAACCCAAATGCTTCTGTTAGCCACTTCCACAGACAGCCCCCACCTCCTGCCCCCAATTCCTTCAGTAGCACATCTTTTCCTGACATTGAACTCTCACTTGAAAAGACACAGTGTTATTCCTGGGTAAGCCCCTTTTATTGTAGTGTTCAAAGTGAATTCCCAGAACACAAACACATCTGTATTCAAATATAATTATTGTAATAAAATTTATTAAAAGTACTGTTGAGTTTTATAGTTTTAACTATCTAATCCCTTTATGTTTTCCTCCATTGTGAATAAAAAAAAAAATGTTTACTGACTTGGTTGTTCAGTACCTAGAAGAACAGGAAAGTCCTTTGAAATTGTGTATTTTTGGATACTTAACTTTGTTTTTTGATTTCTTGTAATTTCATTTTTAATTGCTCACTAATAGATATTGACTGAACGCCTATTATATACCAGATGCTGAATTAAGTGTTGGAGAAATAAGAATGAGGAAAGTTTTACCCCCTTGTGAAGAGTTTATTGGAACAGACATAAAGAAGTGATTGGGTTATGGAACAAATTTAGTAATCAAATTGTATAAGGAATAGAAGTAGCCCAGTAGTAGCCAGAGAGAATGATTGACAATCTGGTGGGTAAAGGATCAGAGAAATCTTGAGGAGATGACTGCGTAAGAAGAGATGGACAAATTGGCTCTCTAAGCAATATACCACACCTTTGGAAAGGGAAAGTCAGTAGATGGAGAAGCTGGTTAGAGGGCTACTAATTTAATATTAAGAGATACTGGAGAACTGGACCAGGCTGCTGGCTACAGAAATTAAGTAGAATATGTGTTAGAGTGGATTCCAAACTGATTTTTGTTTTCCCTCTGTGCTGTGTAGTGGTTTTCTTTCTTTTCCTCCCCAGTACTGGAGATTGAATACAGGGATGCTCTTCCTTTGATCTTTATCCCCAGACCTTTTTTAAATTTTGAACTAGCTTCATTAAGTTTCTCAGGTGGCTGTGAACTTGCAGTCTTCCTGCTCCCTCCTCATTTCAGTCTCCTGAGTAGCTGGAAATACAGGTGTATACCACCACACCTGGCTATTCTTTATTAAGAAGATAGAGGCTGTTCAGTATGAATTCCATACTCTTTTCTTCTCCTATGTTTACCTTCTCTTCTCCTAAGTCAGATAATAAAGCATGTCTATTTTTGTCCAAGAGTAATTTTATGCTCTTGATACTGTTTCCTCTAAGATTCTTTATAGAACTAAGATTTTCTTTTATTTCATTTCTTCCTTTCTGTTGGTTTGGTTTTTTTCATGTTCAGTAAGCATTTATTATATCCTTCATTGGGCATGGGCTGAGGGTGGGAAATAAGAAGCAATAAAGATTATGAAATAATTTTTTTGTTTTGTAGACACTATAGACAGAATAGTTTATTTTTATTCCACAACTTTATATCTTAACCAGTATAATTTCTTTTTACACAGAAGTTTTATTTTTTTAAGTTCCATACTGCTTTTCTTTCCACTTTCCAC